TTACTTCAACACTTTTGCACTTGGAAGAATATATCAATTTTTTCATCGTGTCAGTGGACTTGAGAAAATTTTGGTTGTTATTAGATCTAAATTTATGTTTTTAAATAGGGTGATGCTTAAAAAGCAAGGTTTTTTTTTGTTACTATGATTTTGATTGTACGATTTAAAGCTTGTTTTAGGGTGTGTTTGATGTTTTTAATGTGATAAATGCTTTCTAGTTAGACTAGTTTTAATAAAACAATGCTTGTTTGTTTTATTTAGTTTGATTAATGCATTGTGAAGCGATATTATTTATCTTGAGTGTACAAGGCTTGTTCATGACCAAAATATGTTTAGGAAACTAATTTTGAATCGAAATTGCACAGACATATAAGCTAGATAAGATGTGATAGTTTTAGGAATTGAAACTTTATACATGTTATTGATAATTTAATGTTATTTGTTAGTTCTTTTGATTCAACTATACTTGGTATTGGTAGTGTGGTTTGTGAGGACCAAAAATAGTATATTTAAAAGCCTAGAAGGCCAAATCTGGGTTTTGACAGTAATTCTTCAATTTCTGGAAATTTTCTAGATTCTAGATTCATGTTCTTTGTATGAACTTTGTCTTAGCCTCTTGTTTTGGAGTTATTTTGGGTTAATTCTTGGCAAACATGTTAACTTGTTATCTTTAACAAATAATCTAGGGTTAAAATGCATTAATAACACTTATTCATGCATTTAGATTATAGAGTTCTTTCGACTGCCCAAATATAATTTGATCAAATCATGGTTTTAAGTGTTAATAAAAAAAATAGATGTTTAATTCTTGATCTATGCATGATTATGAACAAAAACTTGCCCTTGATACATGAAAACTTGTCTAGTAGGGTGATCATTTTCGGTTTGGTTTGGTTTTTATAAAAAAAAAAGTAACCAAACCGTATTTTTTTGAAAAAAAAAGAATCAAAATAGGTCAAACCGATTTTAGTTGAGTTTGATTCGGTTATTTTAAAACAAAAGCTAGTTTTTCGATTTGGCTTGGTTTTTTAGTTTGGTTCAGTTTTTTTCAATTTGTCTCAATTTTTCCAGTTTGGCTCGGTTTTTTTCAGTTTTTTTTATTTCGGTTGAGTTTGATTTTTTTGATTTCAGACTTATAAAACCAAAATCGAACATAACCAATTGGTTTTTTATAAATTCTAATCATTCTAATTAGTTTTTTTTATGGTTTAGTTTTTTCTATTATTTTTTTCCAATTTTCTCGGTTTAATTGGTTTTTTAGTTTTTTTGGTCACCTCTATTGTCTAGTTTATGATTTGTGTTTACCGAGTTTTGGTTTAAATGTTCATCATGTTCTTGGTGTTTGATATATTTTTATCAAAAGAAAATTATATTTTTGTGGTTTTTTAATTTTGATATGTTTTTGGTTTAATTTTTTTGTTTTGCTTTAGTTTTTCAAGTCAAACTATGTTTTGGTTTGGTTCATGGTTGAACCAGTGTTTTTTAGTCAAACCAATTGGTTTTGTTTGGGGTTAGGTGCTAAAGCTTTGTTTGGCTAATTACTTTTTTTATTGAAGAATTTTTGGCCTGAGGGGTTATTTGGAAAGCACATCCTTTTGATAATTTTATCTTGAATTAAAATAATTTTTTTGTCAAACAGACCCTAAGTAAATTTCTAAAAATTCTAAAAAAAATTCAAGGATCAATTTAAAATTATTTGTGGATCCCTCACATATTTTTACCCTAATTATATTTAATATTGAAGTTGTAGACTTACACTATAAAATATTCATCTGGTATTTAAATACCCATTTCCCACCAAAATTTCTAAAAAAAATTTCTCATCTCAAAAATATAAAAACGTATTTCATTTAGCATTCAGTCAAGTCTCTGAAAAGATAAAAATCATATTTTGCTTAAAAAATATATAGAAATATATGGTATGATTTAATACTTTTTTATATATACAAAAAAATTCAAAAAATATATTTGCATGTATTTTTTGACTTAATAATTAATTTATTGAATCCATAGGAATTTGACCAAAATTTCAATAACCTCCAAAAATTTTAATTCATGAAAATAAATGATTAATATTTTAATATAAATACTGGACCTACAAATAGATTGGCATTTAAATACCACAAGTTAACTTGAAATTTTTCAAAATTATTTCAGGTATTCATCACTTTTAAATGAGTCGTGGGAAATTATTTTACTTTTTAGAATAATTAAACCTTGTTAGGGCATTTGCATAAATTTTTTCTATAAGAATTTATTGAGGCATATGAGTATATAATAAATTTAAAATTTATTTATTAAAATAAAATTTTATTTTAAGTTATAGATAGACCATTTGTTAAAAACCCATCAATATATTTGAGTCATATTTTAACTACACAATATATCTTACCTTGTACTAAGTAATTCATATAAATTTCTTCCTCTAAAATTTCATATAAAACTATAGATTTTAAATTAAATAATTAGATAATGATTTTTTAATTTTAACGTACCGCTATATCACACACTCACTTACAATAAAAACAAAGCCAAATAACATATTAATTAACTTAACTTAATCTGATTAGTTTTTTTTTTTATTGTAACCGATGATTAATAACAGTAGTCATAGCTAGACTACAATTTATGTTTTGATTGCTTATGGGATCCAATCAAGCATAAAGGACAAGAATGCTGAATCTACAAAAGGCCCTATAGTGTTGTCACATTCCAGCTCAAATACAATGCTAAATCTTATCTAACTCTAATGGTTGCTTCAAGAAGCAAGAAACCCTATCGCGTGTGTACTCGTATTATATCCTCATTGGTTTCTGCTCGCGACCAAGGATGAGCTTTAGCTTTCCTCCACAGAAACAGCCCAAAAGAAAAACAGAGAGAGAAAGAAGAAGAAGATAAGTCGACTTCTGCTCTCGAGGTTAAATTTTATCCTCAAGGCCCAACAATTAAATAAAATAAAATAAAAGGCAACGTGTCTTCTTAAAACAAGAGTAAGAAAGGCCGTTGGAAATCAAGCACGTGTCAAAAGCGTGTTGGCCAAAATACAAAAAATAAATCAAAACAAAGAAAAAAAGTCCTTTGACTTTTAATAAATTTTTAAAGTACCACGACACTGACACTTCTCAAGTTCTCTCTACCCCTCACACCATCATGTCCAACATTCACAAAACGAACTCGAACACTTCATAAAACGACAAATCACCGAGAACGACAAATCTGCGGTAATTCTCCTCCTGTAATTATAAACTTGGACATTGCAGCTTCAATAGAAGCATCCTGACTAATTGCTTGATTATATTGTATTATTTTATTAATGTTCCTTTTTATTCTTTATATTCATTGCTTTGAATTTATTAATTGCATTTTATTTATATTAACCTATAGCATATGTTTCACTCTTCACATTAAAAAATCTAAATTTATAACAAATTTTTAATATAAATTAATAACATGAAAAAATTAAAAATTAAAATTAAATTTTTTTAATATAGTGGAATTACTAAAAGGGAGGAAACACACAAAAACTTAGTGGTAGATCTCTTTTGGGTTGCAAGCTAATGAGTCTAAAATAATAATTAACTAACATAAATTCAATAATGAAATAAACCCCTAAATAATATTTAATACTCTAAGAAAAATTCAAATTAAAAATAATTATCTTAAATCAAATAAATAAAATAGAATCGAATAATAATAAAAAAGTCATCATGTTAAAATTCCTTTATATATCCTGAATCTCTAACTTTTTTATATTTTTTTGTAAATTTAAGTCTTGATTTCAAATATATCTTTTTTTTTATTTAAATGAATTATAAAGCCTACGATACATGATTGAAAAGTTTCAGATGTGTAGCTTTTATTACAACTTTAATCAAAGTAAAATTCGACCGATAACTCTAAATATGTCCCAAATAGTATAAGGATTTATTTGACATATTTGATAATTTTAGTTTACTGACTTTGATCCTCTAAAATATTATATTCCCTAACTTCGTTTAACCTGAAAATTTAGCACAATATATTTTCATACATTTAATGTTTTCTTGTAAAATTTCAGCTTTATCCAATATATGGTTTGAAAGATATGCTCAATCTCACAAAACTAGTCATACATTTTAGATCAATTTTGAACTTGACTTGGTTCATATTATAAATTTAATAAACTTATAAAATCAATATAAGTTTATTGATTTTGTATAAATTAAGGCTAATTTTACTAGTTTTGAGTTTTTTAATCTGATTTAGAATGTATATATTATATACATGTTAATTTGTAAAATCACAAGATTTTAAAATTTAACTCGTGATTTTGACAATAATATCTTAAGAGATATAACTTAATTGGTTAGAATTTATTTTATAAAAATTAGTAGTTCGAATCTCATAAACTGTACTTGTAAAAAAGAGTTCCATTGACTGGTAGCTGAGAGAGAGAGAGAGAGAAAAAAGAAAAACCAAACCCTAGAAAGTAGAAAAAGAGAAACTTGTCTCTCTTTCAAATTCTTAACAAGTTATAAATGCTATAGATTTTTGCCTTAGTGTTTTTTTGGGGGTTTCAAGTAGGAATCATGCCTGTTGATTTAGATAGTTCCCCAGCTGCTTCTGGTGAAGCTAGTGTCTCTTCCTCTGGTTACCAACCACCTCAACAACAAACACCGTCCAAGACAGTTGCTATCGCTAAGAAAAAACGCAACCTCCCTGGAATGCCAGGTAAAGAAAGGACCTTGAAGCTTTATCAGTTTTGGGTTAATTAAAGTTAATTGATTTCTGTTTTTTGTTTTGTTTTTTTTTTTTTATAATTTCTAGTAGATCCAGAAGCAGAGGTGATAGCCTTATCGCCAAAGACCCTTTTAGCTACAAATCGATTTGTATGTGAAATATGCAACAAAGGGTTTCAAAGAGACCAAAACTTGCAACTTCATCGACGAGGACATAATCTACCATGGAAATTAAGGCAAAGATCAAGTAAAGAAGTGAAGAAGAGAGTTTATGTATGTCCAGAACCAACTTGTGTACACCATGATCCATCAAGAGCTCTTGGCGATCTTACAGGAATAAAGAAGCATTTTTGCAGAAAACATGGGGAAAAGAAGTGGAAATGCGATAAGTGTTCGAAGAAGTATGCTGTTCAGTCGGACTGGAAGGCTCACTCAAAGATTTGTGGTACTAGAGAGTATAAATGTGATTGTGGTACCCTGTTTTCAAGGTAATATTCGCATCAAATCTTTGTTCTTGATGTGATTTTTGGTGGGTTTGTTTGGATTTTGAAGTTTTGTTGTTTTGGTTGGTTTATGAAGGAGGGATAGCTTTATTACACACAGAGCATTTTGTGATGCATTGGCGGACGAGAGTGCTAGAGCGCAAACTCAGACTCCGAACCCAAACCCAAATCATAATCCGGAATCTGACCCGAAAGTGCAAGTTGATTCATCTCCAACACCAGCACCACTACCACCACCGCAAGTTGATTCATCTCCAGCACCAGCACCATTACCTCCACCAGTGGCCCCAGATTTAGGTCCCGGTCTGAGTCAGGCTCCACCAGGGCTAGCTCAGTCAGCTGGGATGACACCATCTCCAGTCTTGGCAATTCAGAGTCCAGGTAAAAAAAATTGGAGCTAAATTTGGAAACTTTCAAATATTCTGTAACTTTTGTCGGTTTTGGGGGTTTGTTCTAATCAAACAAGAAAATCCTTGTGTTGTTTGTTGTCATCTCTGTTTGTCGTTCTTTATATCTTGGAGTTTAGTAGTTTTTTGTCTTTTACTGATGTTTGTTGTTAAGTTAAACGGCACTGAATAGATTTGTAGCGCTAAGAAAGAAAGAAAAATAAGGTATTGAATTTTGTTTTGAGATTCAGCTTGTGCAATCTCTGGCAAAGAACTCAAGTGATTCAAAAGCTAAAAAGGACAGAGATATGGGTTTAGTTTAGATAAAGGGAACAATTATTGACTCTTTGCCTTTTCTTCTAAAGTTCTTCATAAAGAAAGGCTTTACTTTCCATGTTTGTATGCAAGTGCCCCCCATTTAATGTCTTCTTTATTTCCTTTAATCATTTCAATTTGACATAATGCAGGGTTTCCAGATAATCCTACACAAATGATAGAAGAAGCACCGGCAGGGGCACCTATGCCGGCCACAGTAACTGCTGGGTTCAATGGAAGCTGCAGCAGTAGCACTAGCTCAAGCAGCAATGGCAGCAGCACCAGTAGCGTGTTTGCTAGTTTATTTGCTTCCTCAACTGCTTCAGGAAGCTTGCAAACACCTCAGACTCCTGCTTTTACTGATCTAATCCATGCAATGGCCCATCCTGATCGCCCAACAGACCTTGCTCCATCATCTTCAGCTGAACCTATTTCTCTGTGTCTCTCCACTCATCATGGGTCATCAATTTTTGGCACCGCAGGGCAAGAACGTAGGCAATATGCACCACCACCACAACCAGCTATTTCCGCTACTGCACTGTTACAGAAAGCTGCTCAAATGGGAGCTGCCGCTACAAATGCATCATTGCTTCGTGGGCTTGGGATTGTGTCATCTTCTTCATCATCTGCCCAGCAAGACAATACACAATGGGGTCATAGGCAAATGGAGCCTGAAAATGCCTCACATGCTGCAGGGCTTGGACTTGGCCGGCCTTGTGATGGAGGTTCTGGATTGAATGAATTGATGATGGGAACTCCTTCCATATTTGGGCCGAAGCATGCCACTCTTGATTTTCTTGAACTTGGGATGGCTGCTGGTGGGAACCCTAGTGGTGGTCTATCAGCACTCATTACATCTATTGGTGGTGGTCTTGATGTGGCTGCAGCAGCAGCTTCTTTTGGAGGAGGAGAGTTTGCTGGCAAAGACATAGGAAGGAGCTGATGACATTTTAAAGTAAGGAACTATACTTCTCCATTTTACTTGGGGAATTAAGTTGAATTTGTACAGAGTTTTGTCTCAGGGCAACTGATTTTTCTCGAGGAAGTATGAAAAGATAAAATCTTGCGGAAGACATAGCTCTAATGGAGGCGAGGATCAACCCATCATTAATTGTTTTGCTGCCTTGGTGTGGATATTTGGCCAAGAATTAAGGGACCCATGGCTTCCTGATTAATGTAATTTAAGGCGGGGGTTGAGAATTTGAGCCGTAGCTTTGTTTTTAGCAGTAAACTTTGGGATACATTTATCCATCCAGTACTCTAAATTTATTGCTAGAAAACATAATAAAACAGGTGCAATTTCAAAATTTGATTAGCAGCTGCGCCCTTGGGATGATGAACGGTACGAATTTGTGGCTGCGACGTGGAATTAGTCATCTTGCAGCCGATGATGAAAGTAGCATAGGATGTATTTTGTAGTTGTGTTGTGTTAAGATCTCGCTTCTGTATATGAAAATCTTGTCTTGAAGTCATTGTGTATTTGGAACTTACTGTAAGTTTCATCTTTATGACTAGGCATTGATGGTGGTCTATGATGGTCAAAACTTTCATAGCTAGACATTGAAGTTGGTATTGTGTTTGGCAATGGTTTTTGGAAGAGTTTTTGTAAAAATTTAAATTTTATTTATTTGTTTTTGTTTTAAATTAATATTTTTTAATGTTTTATGTTATTGTGTTGATATTAAAAATAATTTTTTTAAAATAAAAATATTTTAATATATTTTAAATTTAAAAAATAACTATTATTATATTTTAAAATACACGAATAAGCAAAACTGTTAAATGAAATGGTAATACACAAACATTTTAATACATATAAAAGTAAAACAGCTTAATGAAACTAGACGTGATTATCTGAATTATGATGTACTCTTATATATATATATAAAAAATCAATTTAAAATTAAATACGATTATAAAAAAATCAAACACTATACGTTAATTCTCATTTTTATGGTTTGGTTTTAACCTTCTTTAAATCCTTTTCTTTTCCAAAAGTCATAAAGGAATGAGTAAAATGGATGAAAAATTACAACCCATAGCATAAATATCTTGAGAAGAGAAAGGGAAAACAAGATGGTCATGAGCAATTATAGAACTATTGTGATATTTTAATGAAGTTTAAAATATTTAAATATAACTTATTTCTATTGCTAGACTTATGTTTTTTGGTAAAGTGTTTTGAATTGAGCTGATTTTCTAGTTTTAGTGGCAATCTTTTCTTTTCTTTTTTCTCTTTAGTGATCGGATTCATTATTTGGTTAATTCTAGGATTTCAAGCACTAAAAGCCAATACACAGGCTGACAAATACATGAACATCACATGATAAGAAACCAAAAGCCCATCTCATATTTATTACATAAATAAGCACATAATTCATATTTGGGATTGCTTTGTACATTTTTTTCATGGCATCGAGAGAAGCTATTTAGAAGAGACAAATTAATAATATGGCTTTTTAAATAGTATAAATATATATCATTCTTTCATAAATGCACTCTAATAAAAAACAAATTATTTTGTAAAGCTAATTGTTTTTTAATATATTTAATATTGATACAATTATTTATTAACAATAACCAACTAATATAATTCCACTCAAAATCTTTTTTTTTAGCATAAAAAAATATATTAAACAAACTTTTAGCTCTTTTGACCAGTATATCATAATAACTTTTTTGACCAACATTTAGGAATAGCTTTTCAACTTAGAGCAACTCCCAAGGTTATGCTAAATATAAAGCCTGGAATAAAAATAAAATATTATTTTGACTCTTTCATGTTTATTGTATATGCCTCAAAGAAAGTCTTAAATAAAAAATCAAAAAATATATATTTTTTTAAAATATTATTCTTAAATATCTCTCAAAAAAATCAAAATCAACAAAATGAGATCAATAAAAAAATAAATCAATCAAATACAGCCATATAGAAAACAATGACATCAAACTCATTGAAGAAAAAATAAAGCACTTGTTTCTTTCACTTCAATATAATTGGCTTTTCAAATAACTTTTTTTGTATTAGAGTATACATAATAAAAAAATCATATTTATATTATTTAAAATACTATTTTATCAATTTAGCTCTTCAAAATAGAATTTTCCTTTATAGATCTATTTTGGCTCTTCAATATAGCTTTTCTATTAAAGCTATAAAAATGAGGGATGAAAGCAAAAAGATTTTGTCTTATTTTTTTAGCTTTTGTTTTAGCTCTTTTTCTTGAAGATGCCCTTAGTTGATTAAGTATCGTTTAATCAATATTAGAGACTGAATTTATTTATTAACATTTCACAATACATAGCACGATGACCTTGTTGTAGTTATTAAACTTGTTATAGTGGGTTAATTTGGTAATTTGTCAACTTAAAACCTGGCATAAATCAAGTCTTCTTTCGAATTAAAATGCATATTAACTCGAACAAACTCAAGTTACCTAACAAGTCAATTTATAACTCATTTTCGGTTTGATCTTGCTAACCTAAAACCAAGATCGTAGGCCGGGCTAGATCTCAAATTAAATATAATATTTATAGCTCTAATTAAAATGGTTAGGTTAGATCTCAAATTGAATCCAATATTTATAGCTCTAATTAGACAATAAGGCCTTAATATTCTTAAATTGTTTAAAAGTTCACCAAACTAGAAAATCTTTGAGCTTGGATGCACAAACTTGTCTTATCTATTAAGCTAGCTTTAAATTCGATTTTATTAGTCAAATGTTTTTTTCTTACTTTAAAAGAAAATTTATCATTAAACTAAACATTTATATATAATTGGTGTTTACATATATCTTTTTTTTAAGTTTATAGTTAGAGATTTTTTTATTCTAAGTATCTTAGTTTAATGAAATGTTGTTCCCTCAACTTATCCAAAACATTTTCAAAGAAAAATTTATACATTTTTTGGATTTATGCTTTGTGTGGATAAAAGTGATTGTTAGTTATTTAAAATTTTTGGTTACACACATCATTACTTCTTCAATCCAGTAAAATTGCCAAGATTTTCTCATAAGATTAGGAATGATAATGAGTATTCCTGGATCATGTTTCTTTATATTCATATTTAACCTGTTACTCATCAGGTAAAAAAATTAATTATTCATATTTTATTCATCGAGTCTTAGGTATCCATGTGTATATACATTGTTTGACAATTTTATACACACACACATAAAAGTATGTATGACACATAATGTAGTGTGGATAAAAGTTAGGGTTCTCAAACTCTAAGGTTACAAACCTAAGTTATAGAGAAATTTAGAGAAAACTCTCTAATATTTTATTAAAAGTCTAAATAATCTACATCTCAAAATAAACTAGATATCCCTGTTTATATTAGTCCTTAAATCCTTTACATAAAATAATTCATAATTAAAACTAAAATTCTTTATAAAAAATGATTCATAATTAAAACTTACCTAACTAATATAATTCATTTACCATTAGAATTCCTAAATAGTAAAATACTAATTAAATTAAAACTCCTAATCCAAGTACAAAACAAATCATTAAAATAAAAAAATATCAACTTCAGGCTTTATACCATATGCTTATGAGTTTCTTCGTGAGCTTTTTTTCAGGTTTGGCCTTATCTATCTTCTATAAATGCAATTGTAACACATTGCATGTCATTCATCTTTACTTGTGAAAGACTTGACGTCGAGTCACCTTCAAGCTCTGGATATAAAGGCTAATTATTATAGAAAGGATAAATATCTAGCACATTAAAAGTTTTGGAAATACTCATATTATCAGGTATATCAATAACATAAGCATTGTTAGTAATTTTTTTTAATGATAGTATAAGGACAATATTTCTTCACTCGTAGCTTGCTATACGACCCCACAAAAAATCTTTTTTCATGAAAGAACACTTTAGCATGATGATGTCTATCAATAGCTTCCTTGTATTCGGTATTGGTCTTCATCAACTTTTGCTTCATATCCTCTATAGTAGCTATGCATCCATGACTATTTTCTCAACAACAAGACTAAACCCAACACCCTTCTGAACTGACATAAGATCTAACACATGCTTAGGGTACTATAGATACACAATCTTGAATGATGATTTACTCATGGCACTGTGTCTAGCATTGTTGTATAAAGATTTTTCTTTTACAAGGGCATAATCCTACTATTTCAGTTTGCCAACATAAATGTTTCTTATTAGGTTTCCAAGTGTTTTATCCAGCGACTCTATTTGTCTATTTGTTTGAGGATGTGTTGTACTATTGAAATATAATAAAGAGTGATACATTTTCCATCGTGTACATCAAAAGTGATTAAAACACTAATTGCCCTGATCAGAAGTGATGGTCTTTGGCACCTCATGTAAATGAATCAATTCTCAAGAGAAAAGTCAAGCAATAAAAGACACGTCATTTATAATTTTACATAGAATAAAATATGTCATCTTTAAGAGAACCTATCAACTATAATAAATATAAAATCCACTCCCTTTTATATACAAGGTAATTCCAATACAAAATCCATATAAAAGCCTTCTAATATTTCTTTAGGAATAAGCAAAACCATATATAGACTTGTATTCTATTCTTATCCCTTGATATTTTGACAAATATAATATTGTTGCACAAACTTACCAAATAAATATAATATTTCTGGTCAAACTTACCAATATTATATTTTCAAGTGAGGCCAATGATACATGTCAATTCTAGTATTAATAGTCTTTTATAGCCCTAAGTGACTAGTCAAGCCTTCTTCATGCAAATCCCAAATCACCTTTTTCTATCATAAAGACCAAGAAATACAAAATTGATTACTCTTTATAAAATTTCCATCATGAATGTGAAAGTCATCAATAGGCATATTATGACACTTTTTCCACACCTCACCAAAATCCTCATATATTCATACAACTCTTTTAAATGCTCTGATACTAATTGATGTGGCAAATAACATTGGTAGAAGCTAGGGTTTCAAGCCCTAAGATTATAAACCTAAACTATAGAGAAATTTAAAGAAAACTCTCTAGTATTTATAAAATCTGAATGATAATCTAAATCCTTAGAGTAACTAGAAAAGTTGTTATTCTACTTGAAGCATCAACTTTATTTTGAATTCTAGCCTTATACAGAATTCTGGTTAGGAATTGTTGTAAGTAAGGGACCCATCTTACATTCATATCATTACTTATTCTTCTTTAATTATGTAAATATTTTAGCACCTTATGATCAGAATATAACATAAAAACCTTATCAATCATATAATACTCTTACTTTTAAACAGTTTCAAAAAATAACATAAAAATCTTTGTCGCTTGTGAACCACTTCAACCTAATATCACTTAACTTCTCATTAAAAAATGGCACAGGTCTCTTCTTTTTGGATAGAACTCCATTTATCCTGATACCACAAGCATCATATTCTATCTCAAATAATTTTTTAAAATTTAAGAGTGTCAAAACTAAAGCATTGCTTACTTTTTCTTTGATAAAAAC